CACCACCGACTTCTCGTAAGCGTCGTCTAAAACTACTAAATAATTTATTGGAGGATAAGCACCAGTATTTTCTGAGTATTATGCTACCACAGGTAGGGCTAATTTTAAGCTCGCAGTGGTAGGCTTCCTACCTAATTCTGCCGCGCTGCAATTATATTGAAGTTATGCAGTTTATAACGTGGTACAGCCATTGCGCAATACAACGAAGCCTTCCACTCCATATCTCACAACTGACTGATATTATTCGTGATCAGATATTTGTGGAGATCTGGGAACTGCTTCAGATAGTCCGTAAACGTGTATGCCCATTAATCGAAAGTTGTGTATTTTGAAGCTATTGCATAGCTTTTAAAGCGGGCTTTGAGCGCGGCGACCGAATCAAGAAATTCCGTTACGAAAATAAAACCTAACACCGCTCACTCCGCCTACCATGTAGCTCGCGTTCGACAACACATTCACAGGTCGCGCTACTCGCTAATTTAGTGTTTGTGAATAAACGCGCGGCGTGACTTCGCACTGCATGCGCATCATGAAAAGTCTGCCCATCTCTCTCTCGCGCGGTCTAGCTTACGAGTGTGAAGGGGACAGCTAATGTTTTGCTTTTGTGAATGTTTATAAATATAACATGATCTTATTTTATTATTGTTCTAATAGTAAATTATTATTGTCTAATTATAATTGCATAAGTTGATAATAAATGCTTTGCAATAGCTTTACCGCGGCAGTCCCCGAGTGCCACGCGTTTTTTTTTTTTTACTCATGTTCTGTATTTATTTCACGTCAATCTTTTACGAGACATCCATAGCGCCGATTTGCCCGGGTCACCGAATCGACGCAGAGGAAAAATACGTTACTGTTTTCTAAGAATTTTACGTAGAGATTTTTATAAGTGCGGATGTAACGTGAACTGGCAGCTGTGACCTTTACAGATATCACTTTAATCTGCAAATATCTAACAGAGCGTTATTCGTCCTTTAAGGAAAAGGATTCGTGAGCTCTCGAGTTTTTTCTAGCTTTCCTCAAACTTAACGATTGAAGTTGTTTGAAAGTTTTTCTTCCTCGTTCTTATGTAGTATAAGGAAATGGTTAATACAAACCGGATCCAGTATTTTTCTAGTGATATCAATAGACAAACTATTTGCTGGCATTTTAAATCATAAGTGACGGTTTTAGACTTTCTTATTTTTGTGTAGACTTTGATAAGTGGCCACTACCTTCGGATTCTGAATATACATTACATACGTCTCTGAAAACAACAATAAGTGAGAAATTTTCTACATTCATTTCTTTAAACATTATTGGTCACTTAAATTTGTCACTGTAGAATCTTCTCGGCGTTTTAAATGCATAATTTGTATTATTATTATATACTAGCTGACCTGGCAGACTTCGTAGTGTCTCAATTGATAAATAAAAGACCTAAATTTTTTTATAAAATAAACACATCATAGGAAAAACAAAATTATTATTTTTATTTAATTCCGAGCATTTTAATATTTATCTACCTTTTAAGCCTTCTCTGGACTTCCACAAATAATTCAAGACCAAAATTAGTCAAATCGGTTCAGCCGTTCTCGAGTTTTAGCGAGACTAACGAACAGCAATTCATTTTTATATATAGAGACTAGCTGACCCGGCAAACGTTGTGTTGCCTTAAATAAGATTTCTAGGGAAATTCTACTGTAGAAAAAAAAACCTCATTTAACCACATAATACCTCATTATAAACAAAAAAAATATATACAAAAAATAAAAATAAAAAATAAATGTTTGGGGTGGACAACCCTTTTCACTTAGGGGTATGAAAAATAGATAGTAGCCGATTCTCAGACATACTGAACATACTATTGATACACAAATAAAACCAAAAAAACATGGCTGAAAAATGTATAGTATAGTATAGCTCTCAAATATATTAAGTGTATAATCTATGATGTATAGTGAGTAAGTAAGACAGGAGACCGGCTTCGTTCTCATCCCTACTACGTGATGTTTGCTGGATGAGTGGTGACACCTGGCGGGGATAGCTGATCGATTGATAGTTGATCAATAGTCGACCGGCGAGGGCGGGAGATCAAATTCAATTTAAAAAAAATCATAATTAAAGGAACTTGAAATTATAAACTCGAATAAGAATTTATCGTACTACAATTATAATATTTGATTGCCATCTTGCAACCTTATTGCGGATCTGTGCATAGAATAAAAAAATATATTAATCGGGATGGAAAAATAGGGGTTGATCGTATAAGAGTGAAAATNCTGATTCACTTAGCTTCTTGATCGTTCGATTCTTCTCAGTCACTTGCACTCTTGGCAGAGTAGTCGTGGTCATCATTTCGGGTGGTGGTGCGCATCAAAAGACGTCGCCATTCCTCGCGTACTGTGGTCTTTCTTGTGCACTCGTTGACGGGACCGCTTAGAGCTACCTTTATTTAGTCTGTCCATCGTAACGGTCATCTAGATGCCCCGCGGTCTTATTCCCTCTATCATGGCCTGCACCAAATCTTTAGATAATTTATTGCCAAAAACATATTTTGATTAGTTGAATATCAACCATCACGTATTCGATTTACATTTTACTGGTGGTAGGACCTCTTGTGAGTCCGCGCGGGTATATACCACCCTTCCTATTTCTACCGTGAAGCAGTAATGCGTTTCGGTTTGAAGGGTGGGGCAGCTGTTGTAACCATACTTGAGACTTTAGAACTTATATCTCAAGGTGGGTGGCGCATTAACGTTGTATATGTCTATGGGCTCCAGTACCCATTTAACACCAGGGGGGCTGTGAGCTCATCCTCCAATCTAAGCAATAAATAAATAAATAAAACATTGACACAGTTTTCACTTCGGCACGCTACATTTCCTTCGACTTACTAGTATACAGTTGAAACTTCCGTAATACATATTTTGGCTTGTTTTATCGACCAACTTTTCGGTGGAATTACCCTTGGGAGAGAATTTTCCGGAATTAAATTACAAGAGATATTTTAATGGTTTTCTTAACGTGCTCTTGATATTTGCAATCACGGCATAGAATCACTAAGAGGATAACCTCAAACAAGATCGAGAACATAGACATACTAGATGTGACTCGCAGTTTTAACTACATTAAATTTTTATAGACATACTAGATGTGACTCGCAGTTTTAACTACATTAAATTTTTATAGACATACTAGATGTGACTCGCAGTTTTAACTACATTAAATTTTTATAGACATACTAGATGTGACTCGCAGTTTTAACTACATTAAATTTTTATAGACATACTAGATGTGACTNAGATCAAATTCAATTTAAAAAAAATCATAATTAAAGGAACTTGAAATTATAAACTCGAATAAGAATTTATCGTACTACAATTATAATATTTGATTGCCATCTTGCAACCTTATTGCGGATCTGTGCATAGAATAAAAAAATATATTAATCGGGATGGAAAAATAGGGGTTGATCGTATAAGAGTGAAAATTGAGAGTAACATCAGATTTTTTATTTAATTCATGACAAAATAAAAATAAAAATGAAAATCTTGCCAAAAAAATTAAAGTTTATAATTAACAAATAAAAAATAGGGGTTGATCGTAGAGGGGTGAAAATTTCAGAGTAATTTTAATTTTTTTATTCTACGTCATGACAAAAGAAAAACCAAATTCTCGCAAAAAAATTTAAAGTTTTTAATTAGCAAATAAAAAATAAGGGTTGATCGTAGAGGGGTGAAAATTTAGGGTTGTATGTATTTTTGTATGCTGTATCATAAAAAAATAAAAACAAAAAATTTTGTTTAAAAAATAACAAATAAAATTTAGGGGTGGACCACCCTTAGCATTTAGGGGGATGAAAAATAGATGTTGGTCGATTCTCAGCCTTGACCGATATGCACGCTAAGATTCACGATAATCGGTCGAGCCGTTTCGGAGGAGTATGGCAACGAAAACTGTGACACGAGAATTTTATATATTAGATTATTTAATTTAAATGTTGTCGTATTCCCGCGCGTTCTAAACAGACCTTCCATATTATTATGTCCACGGCTCGAACGAAATATGCTTCTAACTCTTTTGTCCGTAGATCTTGTAGGTTGTATGAACTTAGTATCATACTAAGTTCTCTAATGCTGACTCATCTTTTGCTTGTCACTTGTAGCATATAGAAAAGCTATTTTGGAATATTTATAAAGTGATTAAGTCCGATTAGTATTATACATTTATAGTGTGAGTATACATAATAATATGTGCGTATTGTGTTGCTCCTGGTTTTTTTTTTAACTTAAATTTCTAAATTTCTCTTCTCTGTTCACTTTCTACTTATATGAGATTTTAATAGTGGAAACATGTTTGGTTATTGATTTAGCTATTTTTTTTAAATATTATATGTTTGTATTGTACTGTTGGTTTCCCAAATAAATAAATAAATTCCTTTGATTCTAGACGGCACCCTAAAACGCTTCATGTGCACAAACATCTATATATTAATACGTGAAGCAAAAACTTTGTATCCCTTTTTACGGAAATTGCACGGACGGAGGAGTATGAAATTTTCCACGCTTATAGAGAAGATAGAGAAGAAGTGCAAAATGCTAATTTTTTTTTAAATAATGCGTAAAAGATACTTTAAATCAATAAAGAAAAAATTAGACACACTACATACCATGTATTTGACGCACACACGCATGCATACTATTTATTTATTGTCAAACTTTAGTTCTTGACGTCTGTGGTCAAATTGAGAATAGATTAAATATTGTTTGTCCTTATTAATAATTTTTATAGTGTAGCCTTGGCGAAATTTGTGATTATAGAAATATAAAATACAATCATAATAGTGTACAAACTTATTATACAATTCCAATTAATTATAGTCGATTTTCGACTACAGCGGGACCTCCAGTAATACTAAATTATCCGAGGGTAAACGAATAGACCATTGACCTGCCAAATCCGCAATCATAAAACAAGCATTTATATCAATGAACCAATGCACTTATTTTTCTTTCCAGGTACAAAGTGGACAGCTTGCGGGGACATTACTCGACAGATAAAAAAACAGGTAAGGAGTATCCGTGATAAATCTCTGTAGAACTTACGTCATAATTGCGAATTACAAATCGTTTATATTTCGATACTAGCGGCCCGCTCCGGCTTCGGTCGGGCCTTTAACAAAAATTACAAAATAAAAAATATATAATACACACACGTTAACACTTAAATTTTTTCGTGAGGTTTCTAAAAATACAAAAATTATAACAGTAGTTTGAATAGTTATTATTTTTGTTTATTCTATACAGTAAGCTGTCGTAAGACATTCAACCGTAGTTTTGATAAAAATAATTTCGGCGGTGCATGCACAATGTCCATTGACATGTCCATATAATTAATCTACAGTAGATCTAGTAGATCTTGAGGCACTCTTCTTCTGAGTCTTCTTGTAGTCATTAGGTTGTCCATTAAATGCTTAGCAAGGTTATTCGGATGGGCTTCCAATCTTACACAATATGCTTTAGCTCGATGGATTACTTCATGTTTGACTTTTCTTATGGCAAGATCGTAATGGATTCTTTCATTTGTAACATACCATGGTGCGTTCACTATCATCCTGAGCGTTTTTGATTGAAATCTTTGAAGGATTTCGATATTTGAGTTTGACGCAGTACCCCACAATTGGATGCCATATGACCAAATGGGTTTAATAACAGATTTGTATAGTAAAAGCTTGTTTTCAACTGACAGTTGAGACTTTCTATTAAGAAGCCAATACAATTTACGTATTTGCTGACCCACCGCAAGACGCTTGGTGAATATATGTTTTCTCCAAGTCAGTCTCCTATCCAGGTACATCCCTAAGTACTTTGCATTTTCAGATTGCGGGATCTCTATATTATTCAAGGTGACTGCAGGACAAGTTTGTCTTCGAGTGGTGAAAGTAACTTGTACAGACTTAGATTCATTCGCTTTGATGCGCCATTTTTTTAGCCAAGTGTTGATATTATTAAGGCTGTTCTGTAGTTTATAAGAAGCTTCGTTTGGATCATCGTCCATGGTCATTATTGCGGTGTCATCAGCAAAAGTTCCCATTATCGTACCATCAGTTTCGGGCAAATCAGCTGTATACAATAGATATAAAGTGGGCCCAATGACACTGCCTTGGGGAACACCGGCATTAATTGAATGGAGAGGCGATATTTCATCGCCGTGTTTAACAAAATAATATCGGCTACTCAAATAAGATTCAATGAAAAAATAGAAGTTGGAAGGGATCTTCTTTTTAATTTTGAGTAAGAGTCCTTCATGCCAAACTCGATCGAAGGCCTGAGATATATCTAGGAAGGCAGCCGTGCAGTATTTTTTTCCCTCAAAAGCTCTATTAATATATTCAACAAGTCTGTGAATTTGTTCGATTGTACTATGTTTCCGTCTAAAGCCAAACTGATGATCTGGGATTAGTTTTTTCGTTTCAATAATAGGATTCAATCTTGCGAGAAACAGAATCTCCATGATCTTGGACGGTACAGGGAGCAAACTGATAGGACGATAAGATTTCACGTCCTCGCCACTTTTTCCAGGTTTAGGTATCATCTTAATTTGAGCTACCTTCCATAAGTGAGGCACAAACTTAAGTCTGAAAATAGCATTGTATAATTGGGTCAAGAAAGTAATTCCCTCTTGAGGTAACTCTTTTAAAATAGTTGCTGTTATTAGATCATATCCTGGTGATTTATTAGGGTCAAGATTCTTTATGACAGATCTTGTTTCGGATTTACTAATTTTTTTGAAAGGAACCTCAATAACATGCTCATTCAATTCCGATTCATTGGGAGGCATAGCCGAATTATCCATCGCATTTGGTGTAAATACATTATCCAGGTGTTCAGCAAAGGCTTTAGCTTTGTCTAGATCGCTAGTGGCCCAAGTTCCATCAGATTTCCGTAGAGGAGGTTGGTGGTTTATAGGACGTTTAAGGTATTTGGTAGCCTTCCATAGCGAATAGTCTGTTTTCGATGTGGCATCCAGCTCTTGCATATATGTATTTGTTTTTTCGTTTCTCTCACGAGCCAAATGTATTTTCAATTTTGTAATACTGTAATTAAATATTTTTTTGTCATCAGGATGCCTCGTAGTTTGCCATCGTTTTCTTAATCGCCTTTTTTCTGATAACAACGTTTTGATTGAAAGAGAACATTGCGATGGTTTTACAATTGGTGGGGCGGGTGTCGCCTGCCAAGCAGAATGTTGTACAACAAAGTTAAAATGTTCAACACCATCCGCAATGTCATCCTCTGTTTTTAGAGGTAGATTGATGTCCAAAGAGCCAGATACCAATACACGAAAGTAATCCCAATCGGTCCTGCAAGAATGCAGTCTACATGTTTTCATTTTCCTGGCTATATTTCGACTGAGCGTTATTATGACTGGGGAGTGATCAGATGAGAGATCAAAACTGGATGTACACTCTATACATGCATTATTGATGCCTTTTGTGATACAAAAATCTAACAAGTCTGGTACCTTCCTTTTGTCACTCGGCCAATATGTTGGCTCGCCAGTTGAACAAACATTTAATCTTAGTCGTTCAATGCAAGAAAGTAACTGTCTTCCCTTCGTTGTCACAGTTCGAGACCCCCAGCTTGTATGCTTAGCATTATAATCTCCACCAGCCATAAATCTATGTCCTAAGGAATTAAAAAACTTTTCATAATCTTCATTCTTAATGTTATGTTTTGGAGGGCTGTAAAGTGCCGATATGGTGATGGGTCCCACCCAGTCTTGAACAACGATGTTTGTTGCTTGTATTATATCAGTACAGTAATGAGATCCTTCATAGTGCTTGATGTTACTTCTGATTATAATTGCACTTCCTCCGTGGGCGGAGCCATCTGGGTGCATAGTGTGATACACATTATAATTTGGTATATTGAAGTAACTCATCTTGGTGAAGTGTGTTTCTGAGATCAGAAATATGTCTATTTTGTTTACTTCAATGTATTTTTTAACCTCTAAGGTGTGTTGTGACAGGCCATTGGCGTTCCATAAAACTATTTTGATGGAATCGAACTTGGTATAAGTTTTGTTGTTAGAGATATAATTAGATTAGTCATTGTTGTTAGTTGTGTCATTATCTGTTTCATCATATCCATTAACTCCCGTATGTCATTACTATTATTGTAGGTTTCATTATATTTATTATTTCCATTTGTATTATGATTGATTGTATTATGATTATAATTATTATTATTATTAGATGTAGGCATATTTTCTGATAAGTGAGCTGTTATTGGGTAGCCAGCTAACACTTCACTATATGTAGGGTTTCGCTGGCTGAGTTGAGGATTAGATTGTTGTTTAGACATTTTGTATGCAATCTGTGTCTTTTTCTTTTCATATTGTGATGGAAACCTGATTTTCTCTAACTCCCTATAGATGCTACATCCCTTGTAATTTGCAGGATGATTTCCACCACAAAGAACGCATTTAACATCATCAGATCTAGTTTTCCGACTACATTTGGCTGATAGGTGGTCTCCTGCACATTTTATGCATTTCGGACTCCTTCTACAATAGGTTTTAGTGTGACCATATTGTTGGCAATTTCCACACTGTGGTATTTCTCGTTTAGGTCTTGGAGGCTCAAATATTACTCTGCAGTGAAGGAGGGATTTTATGTCGTAGATAGATTTGTTATTTTCTTTCTGTTTGAGTTCCACCGTAAACATAGGTAAAGGTTCCTTAGTGATCCTGCGTTTAACATTCCAGATATTTGTACATTCATGCTCAAGGAGCGACAGAGCTTCTTTTATGTCCTCTGGATCAGTAGATGGATGCATATTTTTTAGCATCACTTTGAAGTTTCTGTCTTCCTTTGGTTTGTATGTATAAAATTCAGTTTTTTTGTTCTCAAGTTCTTTGACTATGTTTATGTAAGTATCAGGAGCTTTTGGTTGAATTTTAACACGTTCGTTTGGTAACACTTTAAGTTCATAACTATCATCTCCAACATTGTTTAAAAGTGTTATAAGAGGCTTTATATTGCTCACTCTGTCTACAAATATTGGGGGTGGTTTAGGTAACTTCACCACAGTATCGGTTTTATCCGTGGGTTCGCCGGGGCTATCAACCTCAAGATTAGCAAATCTGTTTGATGTAGAAAATGGATTTGAGAGCCAGTATGTATCAAGTTTTTTTTGCTTTAAAACTCCATGATTGTCCGGACTAGACCGTAGTCTTTTGCTTCTAAGTACGTCGTTCCAGTCTTCTGTCTGTTTATTAGTTGGCGTAGGTTGTGGTTTATTATTAAACATTCCTTTATGGAATATTTGTTGTGATAAAATTTTCGTTTTGTTCCTATCTTCATGGGATTGCAAAATTTTGCCCCCCCCAGAATCCGTGGGGCAGCCTGAGTTTCGCACTGGGCTCTGCTCAGAGAGGGATTCCCCAGCCTTGATACAAGAGCTGGAACCCTCCTGGGGTAGTTTGTTCTTAAATCTTGCTTCCATATTTAATTTTATTTATGCCTACAATCGGGCAGACGACCTAGCCTTTGGTGAGCCAACACCTATGTACAAGGCAGCACTTGGTTTGTTATTCGGAGTACCGTCTCCTAGACCAACAGCCAACCAAGGCTTTCGAGGATGGTCTCCCCGGGTCCGAGCTTTGATTAGAGTGGCGGCTCCTACTCGCCACTGACGTCCAAATGTCATTGGGTTTTGCACCGCTTTATAGAGACTTCCCCGCCACGAGAAATCCCAGTGCCCCTCGAAATGGACCGCTCAATTGTCCGCGACTGCACATGGCAGCTAGCATCCATATCTGGAAGCCGTTTCGCTATCCGCAACCTGCGATGCGCGTGGTGGCACAGAGCATGTGCCATCTGGGAATGGTGCCCAGACCACGATCATTATTTTAATGAACTTTTATTTTCATTTAAATAATATTTGTTTTTATCTAAAAAAAATTTATATTATTATTTGTCTAATTTTCGTAACATTATCGGAGTTTTAGTAAGGATCCCTAATAAAAAAAAAAGACAAGAACATAGCCTATGTCACTCGGGGA